CATACGCAACCAAAGTTGAGAATGTGCACCATAAACCCAGTGCCTCTGGCTCATGAGAAATGAGCAAAGGGCTATAGCGATTTCCAAGCACGCTGGCTCCCAGGATCCCCACATGTGGCTGGTGACACACAATCACCTGAGTGGAAGAAGGGGTTGAGGAAGCTCCTCCTCAGGACCCAGGGAGCAGCTCCCGTGGGTTGAGTCTGCACTGCAGCCTGGCCCTGCTCAGTGCTTCTCATGCACCAGCTTCTTTGATCCCCACAACTCGAGAGGGAGTGTTTCTGTTTCCATTTCACAGAAGAGGAACTCTGAGGTGCAGAGTGGTGGCTCTCTGCAGAGCCGGCTGCAGCGAGTTGGGTCTGAACCAGGGCTAAAACCCCCGCCAGTTGTTCCCACAACACCATTACCTTCCACCATGATCAAACACTAGGGCAGCTGGACAAGGCAATTCTATTACATTTTTTTAAAAACACAGTTGAGAGGTGGGTTAAATGGGTGACGGGCATTAAGGAGGGCACTTGTTGGGGTGAGCACTGGGTGTTCTATGTAAGAGATGAATCACGGGGTTCTACTCCCAAAGCCAAGACTACACCGTATGATAACTAACTTGAAAACTAAAATAACAAAACCAAACCCAACCCACAACTGAGGCCCCTGGGAGGCTCAGTTGGTTAAGCTTCTGACTTCAGCTAAAGTCATCATCTCATGGTTTGTGGGTTCAAGCCCCACACTGGGCTCTGCGCTGACAACACAGATGCTACTTGGGATTCTCTCTCCTCCCCCCACCCTCCTTTGCTCATGCACACACACACTCTCTCTCAAAATAAACACATTTCACACACACACACACACACACACACACACACACACACACACACACACAGAGTTAACTCCACAAGGGTAAGTTACTTGGAGGAACTTCTTCTCTGAATCAATAGAGGCTCAGGTGCTACAAGTGGTCCTGGCTCAATCTTCCCCTGACAATGCCAGCCACTGGGGCCAGCCCTCGTACTGGCCTCTGGGTCACGACAAAAAGGCTCCTCTGTCCCCCCTCCCCAGTCATTTCCCTCCACCCCAAGAATTGTCGTCATGGTCCACCCCCAGAGCGTGTCCTTGGTTCTGCACCCCTGTCCTGTGCATCTGCTGCTTCTGCGCCTTCAACCCTCACCCCATCCCACCAGCTCCCTGGCTTCATTCAGATTCCCTGGACACCCCTTACCCCCACTTTATCTGCTGTCATTCACCCCGACGAACAGACCTTTACTCTAGATCTATTTCTTTTAGCCTTGTGAAGACATGAGCAAAAGGAAATACATTCATGATCATCCTAATACAACGGACTTATCGTCCATCTAAGGTCTCTTTTACAATTGTAATGAGAGACCACAGACAATCTCATATGTTATTGTTCCCTCTAGTTATGTGCATCAGATTTATGCCTTTTTTTTTTTTTTTAAGAGTGAGCAAGTGAGTGTGTGCAGGGCAGAGGAAGAGGGAGAGAGAGAATCTTAAGGCGGCACTACACCCAGCTGGAGCCTGATGCAGGGCTGTATCCCACGACTGTAAGATCGTGACCTGAGCTGAAATGGGAAGGCTGGTCGCTTAACTGACTGAGCCACCCAGGCGCTCCAGATGTTTTAATGGCCAAAAACTTCACCAAGAACTTAATGCTCTCACTATTGCACTTACTGATTGCTCCGCATTTTTAGTACTTTTATCACCAATTCAAAGACCGTATTTTCTCATATTTCGACATTCCTGAAATCTGAATGTCTCACAATTGACCAGCTTCAACGCTCTACTACGTAAGGTCACAGTAAATAGCAGTATTTTCTTTGTAACACATAAAATAATGGTGCATCCATCACCGATGGCACCTTATGTGCTAAGAAATATGGTGCTATTAGTTTTCTTTCCATGGGTTATTTCCTCTTAAGTGAGATGACCAGGTTTGGTTATGAACATTTTCATGATGCTCAACACACACTACTGAATTTTGTTCAAAACAACAGTATGGACAGGTGCCACTACAAAATAACCAGCACTGAGCAAGCATAACCACTTGCTGTTTTGGTTTGCCGGATTTAAAAGGGACTACAAATGAAGGAAAGAAGGAATGGCTTCCATTTGCCCTTGACTGATAACAATCACTGGAATCCTGGAGCTCCTCGCTATCAGGTGGCAGGCACTATGCATCCAGCACCTTATGAGGAACAGTTGTAACTCTACGTGGTGATGACTGTCGACCTCACTCACGACCGCAGAGACAGAGGCTCAGGCTGGCACGGAAACTGGTCACACAGCCCACAAGGGACGGACAGATGTCGGACTGGAACGCAGGCTCTCTGGCCCTGAGCTGTTCTCACTGGGGCTTACCCGCTGGAGCCACAGAGCAATTCAAGGCTGGCTTGCACAGGGGGTAAGCTAGCATCTCCCAGACCGACAGCAAATCTCCAGAACTAGGGTTCTTCATGGTCAAAGTGCAGAGTCCTCAGCTGGGCATTCGGGGACCTTCACCATCACCTCACCCTCCAACTCCCCTTGGCTCTGTGGAACTTTACATGAGCCTGCCTCCAGGCCCTTCTTGATGCTGTTCCCTCTGCTGGAAATGCCTTTCCCTTGGACCCCATAAGGTCAAATTCCAAGGCCCAGCTCAAAGAACCGTCCACGACCCTCCAAAGGAAAGGGAACTTCCTCCTCTGAACATGAGCCCCACATCCTGTGTACACGCCACTTCCATCCTTCCCAGATGCTGGGCACCGAGATCGTAAAGCCCTCCCAACCCGCTCGCTTCTCTCCAGGGCCAGTGCGTGTCCCCCTGCTCCCCACAGGAGGGCTCCCTCCTTGCTGCCTGTACGTCCTTTCTGGCATTTCCACCATCTCCACAGGACACCACAGAGGCTTTTCCAAGTCCAGGCCCCATCGGTGGCTGCCCTGCTCACCATTCTTAGCACCACCACCAGTACCTCCCGTGTCCCCTGGGCTCTGCCTGGCCTGGTCAGGTCTCTCCGGACTGAGCACGTCCTGGCCCCTGCCACGCTGCCCCAGCTGGCCCCCCACCTTCTGGCTGCTGCACACGGTCTTCCTCCTCAGGCCTGGTGTCAGGTCCGGGAGGCCTCGGATCTGAAGATCGGGAGGTCTCAGTGGCCTGTGAGGGGCCCACACTAACCATGGCTTCTCCTTTACCACTCACCCCATATGCACCTTCACACATTCAGTGTTGTGACTTGACAAGGGTCGCTCAGCTAGAGAGGAAGCCACCGGCGGGCAGAGACCAATGTCTTCAGCTTGGCTGCTACGGCCTGATAGCTATGGTTGGTGCCAGGACATGGCTGGTGTTGATACACATTTGTTAGGTGAATGGGTGAATGAATGAATGAGGGAAGGAATCCTCCTCAGGGAGCCCATGTAGCCCCTGTGCTCCCCACTCCCTGCTCCCTTCCTGCTGGGGGTGAGCCCTTCCTCAGGCTCCTCCCTCTGGAGACCTATCCTGTCTTCGGGCAAGACTGTGTTTGAAAGACAGACGGGGCACAACCACTAGTCAGTAATTAGGACACGGCGGCCAGACGGCATGGGTTTGAACCTCGTGCCAGCTCTGTGACCCTGGGCAAATTGCTAAACCTTGCTGGGCTTCAATTTCCCTATCTGCAAGATGGGGGAAAGAATTAATGGTACTTAATTAATGCATAGGGCTATTGTGAGGATTAAAAAACCAAATACACAGAAAGCCCTTTGCACATGCCCAGCACGGACTGAGCACCTCATAGGTGGTGCTCGTGTGATTACCACAACTTTTGCCACCCTGCTTCACTAACTCAACGATGAACATTTTCTCCAGGTTTTTCCTCAGATTTCAACATTTCTGAAATCAGAGTTGGTGGCATCCTAGCCCTGGACATTTCCCCCACTACACTGTCAACAGCCCTAAAATCTGAAAACCTTACAATTAAAGGGGTCATCAATTTAATGAAATATAGGACGGTCGTCATTGTCATCTCATGGCCCTGCTTCCTGGACCCTGCCCTCATCACCCTGCTGCACCCTGAGCTTCGAACACTGCCCTGATGGCTCTACCTGGCCAGGCCCCCAGAACCTCCTAGTGAACAGGTGAAATGGAAGCCAACATTTCCTTTCTACCTGATCTTCACCGTTCACAACCGATGTCCCTTCAAACCCAACAAACCTGCATCCAGATATCAAGGACAGAGTTTAATAGCTCTGCTTGGGATGGTCTCATGACACAGGAAGCAAGGCATTCTCTTCGGAGACAAGCCACGGCGAAATTCTACTTGAGCCACTGCCTACCTGTGTGATCTTGTGCAAGTGCCTTTATGTGTAAAATGGTAACATGGGCAGTAGGGAAAAGGCCTTTATAGGCTCACTATCAGCCTAGCATTTTGAAACCACGGTTCTCCTCAACTCCTCCCAACAAGGGTAATTTTATCTCCCTTTTCCAGAAAAGGACACAGAGACTCAGGGAGGTGAAGGTCTTAGCCTAATAACACATGGTTATTAAAATGCAGAGGTAGGGGGCGCCTGGGTGGTTCAGTCAGTTACGCGTCTGACTTCTGATCAGGTCATGATCTCACAGTTTGTGAGTCTGAGCCCTGCATCGGGCTCTGCGCTGACAGTGTGGATCCTGCTTGGGATTCTCTCTCTTCCTCTCTCTCCCTCTCCCTCTCCCTCTCTCTCTGGCCCTCCCCTGCTTGTGCACACATGTGTGCATGCTCTCTATCTCTCTCTCTCTCTCTCTCTCAAAAATAAGCAAACATTCCAAAAAAATGCAGAGGTGGTGTTTGAGTGGTCTAATTCAGATTATTAGGCCATCTAAAGGTTTGTGAATTCCTGCTAGAGTTTTCACCTTTGTGACTAAACACTTTGGTATAGCAGAAACACCCCCAAGCAGGTGTTTTCCTTTTATCCTGTTTGAAACACCAAGCAGAACTGTCTTCAAGGCCAGGAAGTCCTTTAATGCTGCTGGTCCACCAGAATTAATTTACCTTTTCATCCCGGGTGGCCATTTTCCTGTCCTCTCTGGATCTGGAAAACAAGAAAACATTTGTCTGGATCTGACATTCTGCTATCGTTTCTCTTAGTATGTGCTTTTGCAACACTTTGTTACAAATTATTTTTAACTTGCTTACGTTAACAGCCGCTGAAAATAGCATAAAGCTCAAAGTGTTTGTGGAAGGATGCACATCCTTGGTATATACCCAAAGGAATTGAAAACAGGCACTCAAATACATGTACACAAATGCTCATTGCCAAAAGGTGGAAATAACCCACGTATTCATTAAGGGATGAATGAATAAATCAATTGTATCTATACAATGGAATGTTATCCAGGCATAAAAAGAAATGAAGTACTGATCGATGCTACAACATGAGTGATTTACACTAAATCATAGAAGTCAGACACAAAACATCACATATTACCTGATTCCAATGATATGTAAATATACCCAGAATATATAAATCCAGAGACAGAAAGCAGATTGCTGTCTGGCTGCCACAGAGGAGGGTGATGGGGGGCAGGGAGCGACTGTTTAGGGTACAGGGTTTCTTTTTGATTTGATGAAAATGTTCTGGAGCTGGAAAGAGGGGACAGTTGCATGATATTAGGAATGCACTAAATGCCATGGGATTCTTACCTAACGTTCACCAAATTGTAAAATGGTTAATTTCATGTTATGTGACTTTCACTCTAGTTTAAACTAAAAAAAAACCCCAAAACACAAACATACATTACAGAGCTGGGGATGCTCTGGAAAGCATCAAATTATCTCTATGTACACCAATGAGGGTCTGGTTAAGTCAGTGAAGGTACATCTGAGCAGTGGCCAATGCTAGTGTTATTAAATCTTCGTATGTAGACAAGGAAAGAGGTGAATAATATAGTAAGATAAAAAAAAATTCAGGGGAGCCTGGCTGGCTCAGTTGGTTGAGCATTCAACTCTTAACCTCAGCTTGGGTCATGATCTCATGGTTTGTGGGATTGAGCCCTTAATGGGCACTCTGCCAGATTCTCTCTCTCCCTCTCTCTGCCTCTTCCCTACTCTCACATGCACAAAAGCTCTCAAAATAAATGTATTTTAAAAATTCATATTACAGCATAGTGTATACAGTATGACTCCATCTACATGAAAAGTTACATATGCATTTTTATTTTTTATTTGAGAGAGAGAGAGAGCGAGAGCAAATGAAGGGCAGGAGCAGAGAGAAAGGGAGAGAGAATCCCAAGCAGGCTCTGTACTATGAGCGAAGAGCCCGATGCAGGCCTTGATCTGACAAACTGTGAGATCATGGCCTAAGCTGAAATCAAGAGTCGGACACTTAACTGTGCCACCCAGGTGACCCTACACATGTATTTTAAAAAATAGGTCTGTAAGGATATAGCCAAACTCTTCACAGTGGTTATGGCTGGACAAAAAGGGAGTGTGGGAATTTTCTTTCTCTTGACTTCTAGAAGTTCTGAACTTTTAAAATGAGTTTGTACTACTTCTTAAAATTTATTTCTGGGCTCCTGGGTGGCTCACTCAGTTAACCGTCTGTCTTCGGCTCAGGTTATGATCTCATGGTTTGTGAGTTCGAGCCCTACATGGGGCTCTCTGCTGTCAGCACAGAGCCTGCTTCAGATCCTGTCTTCCTCTCTCTCTGCCCCTCCCCCCACTCATGTGCACTCTCTCTCAAAAATAAACATTAAAAATTTTATTTTTAATGTAGGTGACATATGCAGATACTTAAAAAGTAAAATAGGGGCTCCCAAGCTCTCTCTGCCTCTCCCTTGCTCACCCTCTCTCTCAAAATAAACTTCAAAATGTGAAATAACATAAAAAAAATACATGACAAGTACGCCTCCTTTCTGGCCATTCTTCTAAGAAGCAGCCGCTCTTACCAGTCTCCTATGTGGCCTCCAGTGGTGTTCGATGCCTTCACAAGCACAGCTATATTTACTTTTTCTCTTTTTTCAAAACTTAAACAAATGTGAGCCCACACATACTGCTATGAATCTCACTTATTTCCGTTTAGGCGTTTAGGGTGTGGCAGGCTCAGTGATGAGCCGCCCCCTGAACCTGTGGATATGTCCCTTTACGTGGCAAAAGACACTTTGCAGATGTGATTACATTAAGGATTCCGATGTAATCAGGAGGGTCTTTGTGAACAGAGTGGAGCAGGAGAATTAGACACAGAAGGATATTTGAGTACTGACCCAGAAGCTGGAGCCAGAGATTTGAAGATGTTATGCTACTGGCTTTGAAGATGGAGGGAAGGAATTGTAATCCAAGGAATGTAGATAGTCCCTAAAAGTTGGAAGGAGGGGCTCCTGGGTGGCTCAGTCGGTTAAGCGTCCGACTTTGGCTCAGGTCATGATCTCACGGTTCATGAGTTCGAGCCCCGTGTCAGACTCTGGGCTGACAGCTCAGAGCCTGGAGCCTGCTTCGGATTCCGTGTCTCCTCCTCCCTCTGCCCTTCCCCTGCGCATGCTCTGATTGCCTCTCAAAAATAAACAAACATTTAAAACACATTAAAGGTTGGAAAGAAACAGATTCTCCTTTAGAGCCTCTAAAAGGAATGCAGCCCTGCCAATGCCTTGATTTGGGCCCAATGAGACTGATTTTGGAACTCTGATGCCCAGCACTGTAAGCTAATAAATCTGTGTTGTCTTAAGGCATCAAATGTGTGATTTGTTATAGCAGCCATAGGAAACTAACACAGTATTTCAGATTGTTCTATATCAGTGTGTGCTAGATCAAGTGCACTCTCTGGAATGAAAGCCCAAGACTTTCCTGTAGAAAATGTATGTAGTCCCACTCGTGATCAGCGTTTAGATTATTTCCCCATCTTTTCCTGCCCCAATGTTCCAATGAATAACTCTGCACACTGTGTGCTTTTATAATTTGAGGGGAAGAAATGATCATTTTGGAAAAAAAAAATTCACATAGACTTAAAAAAAAAAAAAAAAGAAGAAAGTTCTTTCTCTCCTCAGAACCATGCTGAGGGCTTAAGGGACTCCAGAGAGTTTCTTGCTAGCCTTCAGCTCAGTGTGTTCCTGTTCTGGCCCCTGGGGGCACCCCCCCGCCCCGGCCTGTTCTCATGAGATGGGCTGAAGTGGAACCATTAGCCCAAGCAAAGATGAAGGGAACAATTAAGGTGCCTGGAGATTTCCTTCCTTCACAAGACAGGAAATAGAACCAGCACAAATATAGAAAAAACCCCAGCTTCACTAATTCAAGCAACAGAAAATTTAATCCTACCATGAACTGCCCATTACACTAGACAAAAGTGATAAAACTCAATGCTTGTGGGGCTGGAGGGAAACTTGCACACATTGCCAGGCATAGTTTTTCCTCAATAGCCATTTGCAGAGAAGCGGCAAGTGCTTTCAAAATGATCATACTCTTGACTTGAACACATCAGTTTGGGAACTATTATCTCAAAGAAATTATATGATAGCAAAAAACATGTACAGTGTGGACAAGTGAAGCTGGATATGACAGCTAGAACCTGGAAAGACCCCGCAAGGCCCACCCTCAGGAAAAGCTGAGGAACACAATGGGCTGACAGACGGCGTGTCAATTCTGAGGTGTGATGTCAAAACACAGAAAGAATTCTGTTACGTAACGAAAGGAGAACCCTGATGGGTGCACACACTTGGTTGCAATTGTACAAGAGAACTGGAACATTTACCGTGTGCCTGGCACTGTGCTGACTTCTGGGGAATCCGAAGCCAAGAAGATCAAGGCCAGGCCCTGACAGACTGATACTTTAGCTGGATGGACAAAGAAAGAACCAGGGAAACACATAAGGTAACATCACCCAAAGCTAAGTGTGGGAAGAAGGCCAAACAGCAATGCAAGAAGAGACCAGGCCAGTGTGGCTCCCGCAGGTGGAGAAGTGGGGGAAGAGTTGGGTAGGAGACTTGTATAGCAGTCCCAGAGTCGCAGAGAAGTTAAGTAACAAGAAGATGGCTGGGAAGAGCATTCCCTGGAGAAGGAAGACCATGTGCACAGGCCCTAAAAGGGCAAAAAAACACAAAACACAAAAAGCTTTCACCAAGTCCAAGGAAGAAAGAGGAGGTCAGTGTGGCGGCAGGAAGGGGGCGGTGGGCAAGAAGCAAGGGTCTAATCTTGTAGAGGGCGTGGTAAACAACGCTGAACATTTCAGGGTCAAGGGTGGTGGAAGGGAGGCCGAGAGGAGGCAGAATACACGGGGATGCAGAGGAATGGCCGGATTCAGAATAGGCCGAGAAGTAGAACTTGCTGCTGGCTTACATGCTGGACATGAGATGAAGAGCAAGAATTTGGTTTTGGGGCTACAATACTCTAGACTTCCTCCTTCTTACTAAACCAGAAATAGGGAGGGCTTGGGGACTGCGGAGCAATTCTGGAATTGTGCAAGCCTCAGCCCAAAGATTTTCAAAACCTTGTCCCTACACTCCCCGAGGTACTCAGAGGGTAAGAAGTTGCCGCTGCCCGATTTGGTCTTATTCAAGCTTCCAGCTGGTGGCGGGGCTTTCTGGAAACACTGCAGGTCTCAGGTCGCCCTAACTGACCTTAGGTTAAAGGTGTCCAGGACAGAGGGGTGGGGTGGGGCTGGACGGGGACACGGCTCGGTAGCAAACTTGGGCAAGGCGCATGGCTAAGCTTTTATACCAATCATCTCGCTTACTCTCAGCAACCCTGTGAGGGAAGTACCAGGCTCAACCCCACGGGACAGACGAGGGAACCCGGGCATGGAGAGGTGAAGTCCCGAGGCCAAGCCTGCAAGGACCCCTGCACTCAGCGGGGGTGCTGGGTAAAGGTCTGTAAGTTCCTGGGGGTGGGGGGAGGGCGGCTGTACCTCTGTGTCCTGGGCTTTAACGTGTCCTCAGCCCTCTCTTCTTGCTCCTCAGCCCACCCTGCCCCAAGAGGTGAGTGCTTCAAGTGTTTGCAGGTGAAGGCTTTGCTGCCCCCTCATCAGAGCCTCCCCCCTGGGCCCCCAGTACTGCGGTTACCGCCCCTTCTTGGCCTGCAGCCTCCCTAGCGGGGCAGGGAGAGGCTAGGATGATCAATAAAAGGATTCAGGGGTGCACACAGACCTGGGTGGGAGTTCTGCCTCGGCCTCCTTCGGCTGGGTGACCCAAGGCAAGTGGCTTGGCCCGAGTTTCGGTTTCTTCGCCTGCGAGAGGGAGACAAGGATGGTACTTACCTCACCTGTTGCCGCGCTCCGCGTGGGATGAACGAAGGCACCTGTCCCCACGTTCAGCGCGCCACACAAACGGGCAGCTCTTATCAACGCTCCCGTTTTCAAGGGGAGGTGACTGAGGCCAAGAGGGGCTTCCCTCGCAGGCCCTGCGGCATACTGTTTCCTGCCTTTCCCCTCCTCTGGACTCTAGGACCCTCCGGACGGGGTGCGCGGGGTCCCCCGGGGATAACCGTCCGCCCGCCTCGGCCGGCGCTGCTGAACGCTGGAACCTGGGGCATCTGGGGGCGGGGTCCCAGTGCTGGCGGGGGAGCGGCGACGCGGGCCAGGGTCCGCGCTCCCCGAGGGCTCTGGCTGGGAGGCCTTGGCGTAGGGGCCGCGCCCTCCACCCCACCCGGTCCCAGCGCCGCAGCACTTACCGCGCCCCTCCCGCCCGCGGCCACCGCAGCGACTGGAGCTCGGGCCCGCCCGGCCGCCCCGCCCGCCCCTTCCGCCCCGCCCCCTCCGGCCCGCCCCCTAGCCCCGCCCCCTACCCCCGCCCGCGTCTCGGTCCCCCTGGCCCTGGACCCGGGGGTCTCCGGCTCGCCCCGCCCCCCACCCGGCGCGCTCCCGGGCGCGGCCCCGAGCCTGGCCTGGGCCTCCCGCGGCCCCGCGGATGGACAAAGGTCCGCCCGTGGAAGCCAAGCGCGAGTCACGAGAACCCTGTCCCAGGCGAGCCTGAGGGAAGGGGTGGGAGGAGGGAACCGCTTCCTTCCTCCTGCGGGATGCGGTGGGGGCGGAAACACTCCCCTCCCCGCCGCACACCCTCGGGGAAGCGGGGCCTGACTTCTGGCGGCGCCCCCGCCCTCATTACCTCGGGGTGGCTCTGGGTGGCTTTGCCGGTCCCCTGCGCTGCATCTGCCACGTAGGGGTGGGAGACTGGGCAGAATGTCCTCAGGGTCTGGCCAACCCTGAGGCTGTCAGGACACCCCTGAATGGGGGCCTGTGTCTGGCAGTGGAGCGGGGGTCCTTGCTGGGGGCTGGTATTGGCAAGGAGGACAGAGCTACAGGCCGAGCCCCCTTGCCAGGCTGACTCGAACCCACCTTCCCGGAGCTCCCGTGTCCCCCCCCGGGTTCCTCCAGCACGCCGCTCACACTTCATTCCGGGGCTGTGCTGGCATCAGTTTCTGGGAGCTTCCGTCTTCCTAAAAAGACCATTTGTCCCAAACTCCTCTGGGCAGAGGCACTCTCCTGCGCACCTCCCTGCTTCTGGTTTAATTGGGGTGGGAGGAGTCTCAATCCTGGGCGTCCTGGGAGCTTCCCTGTGACAGGTCACCACAAACCCAGTGGTTTAAAACAACACGAGTCCCGAATCTTACAGCTGTGGAGGTCGGTAGTCGAAATGGTCTTAATAGGGTTACAGTTGCGGTGGTGGGAGGGCTGTGTTCCTTCTGGAGGCTCCAGTGGGGAACTTCTTGTCTTTTCCAGCTGGTGGCTTCATTGTGACCTGTGCTTTCATCATCCCATCTCCTCTAGAGCTGGCCTTCCTCCCTTCAAAGAAGACCCCCTTGATTACACTGGGCCCATCAGCAACACCCTTGACTTAATCACACCCTTTCCCCAGGTATTCACAGGTCTTGGGGCTTAGAATGGGGACATCTCTGGGGGCCTGTAGTCTCCAGGGGTGTTGTTTCCATTGGCTTCCATTGAGTCTGCTCTTCCCAATCCTGCCCCCAACCTCTTCCTGGGCAGTAGGCTTTCTTAAAAACATCTCAGTTCAATCTGACTTCTCAGTCACATTTTGTTATTACAACATTCTTATTCTGATCCCTAAGCCACAGTCTGGTCCATTTTAAACTTCAACTTTTTTTTTTTAATTTTTAAATGCTTATTTATTTTTTGAGAGACAGAGACAGAGCATGGGTGGGGGAGGGGCAGACAGGGAGACACAGAATCCAAAGCAGGCTCCAGGCTCTGAGCTGTCAGCACAGAGCCCGACACAGAGCTTGAACTCATTAACTGTGAGATCATGATCTGAGTTGAAGTCAGCTGCTTAACTAACTGAGCCACCTGGACACCCCTCAACCTTCTATTTTATTAAAAATGTCCCTCCCCCCCACCAATGCCAGCTGGACAGAGTGGAGAGGATATGTGCACTGAACGGGCCCCTGCATTCACTCCCTCATGGTCTGGGAAGGGAAGAGGTGGAGAGAACAGGTAACAGGTATCTCCCCACCTAAACCCCTCCACCCCGCCACCTGGAAGCTGTGATCCTCCTTCCATGGGTTTTAACAATTGGTCCTGCCTATAGTTACAACTTAGTGCAAACAGGTGGTGGCCTCAACAGGCCCTAGGAAGGCAAGGCTCAACCTTGGCCCAGGCCTGATCTTCTGGCTGACCCCTGCTGGAGGCATCTCTCATTATCCCTCCCTCCCGGTGATGCCTCCCTGCCCAGCTCTGCAGCAGGCCCCAGGGAGGCCAGCAGTCACCAGCCTCACCTATGCTCTGGGGACTGGGACCACCAGCAGGGACTTATTTCCACACCTTTTAGGGATCAGGATCCTGAGAGAGCAGGTCAGCAAGTCTGGAGAATTTAGTAATGTTCTCAGGATTTCTGTGCACAGAAATACCTCTACTACTCAGGCTTCTCAGCTGGACAAGAAAAGAGCTCAACTTTGTTACATCTTTATCCCCAGCTCCGAGTTTGGCACGTAGTAGGTGCTTTACATTTCTGTTGCATGAATTAATAAGTGAATACTGAGCATAATAAGATAAGGGCACCCACCATCAGGGTTTCTATTCAACATTGTACCAAGACTCTAGCTAAGGCAGTGAGACCAGAGAGGAGATGAGAAGGACAAAGATTGAAAAGAGAAAACCTTTGGGGCGCCTGGGTGGCTTAGTCGGTTAAGCGTCCAAGTTTCACTTAGGTCATGATCTCGCGGTTCGTGGGTTCGAGCCCCGCGTCAGGCTCTGTGCTGACTGCCAGCTCAGAGCCTGGAGCCTGTTTCTGAGTCTGTGACTCCCTCTCTCTCTGACCCTCCCCTGCTCACGCTGTCTCTCTCTCTCTCCTAGAAATATAAAAAAAAAAAGAAAAGAAAAAGAAAAAGAGAAAACCTTTGATCTGTAATCTATGTGATTGTCTACCTAGAAAATCCAAGAGACTCAACCGAGTAGCATTGGATGCCCACCGTGTGGTAGGCAGGCTCTTTTTTGACGCTTAATATAAGATGAAGGAACAGCTCTGTCCTAAGAGAGCTCCCATTTGAGTTGGGGAGGCGAGAGTGGGGCACATTCCTCTATGCTCCAGAGTCTAAGAGGCCAGTAGTCTAGGATGGGGAAAAATTACTTCATTTTCAATAACCTCTAACTGAAATTGAGCCATTTCCTTCCATGGTGAATGTAGGTAGCAAATCATCCTTGTATTGGCAGTACCCACGACTTCGTCATAGATCGAGGTCACAGAAGTCTTCAAATCACAAGATAGTTACTGCAGACACCTTCAAATATAACTCACCCTTCACCACTACTGCAAAATTACCGAAGTAACTAAACCAGCTGTTAGTTCTCATAGTTTAAATATGTTAGCAAATAACTTCATTTACTTATCACATTTTAAAAAATAATTCAATAACTGCATTTCAAGATAATGGGTTTTTGGTAATGGAATGCATTCTATATCATGGATTTAAAGACATTACCCTGAGGGGAGGACTCATGACACAAAAGAGACTAGCAGCTCCAGCTTTAGAGGAAGGACTTGGCTTGGGCAAGGCTAACACAGTTCTCTTGCACAAGGGAGCCCCTGCCCCAACCTTCACATCTCTTCCCAAGCAGTAAGCCCGACTTGCTCAAGTATGTGTCTGTCACGGTTCCAGGAGCTTTCTGTGTGCCCGCCTTTTGATGTTCATGGACGTTCTAAGGAAGGTCAAAACGCCCCCTGCTCTGGGTCTGCTTGTGCCCCAGGCTGGCTGGCACTGGGCCAGGGCATTGGCCAGTTCTGGCTTTACTCTGGTGGGAAGAGAGAGGGCTGCCTCGGCTGGTTTTGGTTCCTCCTGGCCAGTGTCTTCAGCTGCTGCCGTTGATCACTTCCCTTCCTAGGGCAAAACCCAGAACTTAGGAGAACGCAAAACACAGAAAGGAGGAGAGAGGAGTCCATGAGACCTCAGCAGGGGCCCTGTTTGGATTTCCCAGAGCTACGTCTGTGTCTGGGTCTCGAGGCTGCCTTGCCACCAGATAGGACTCATCTATAGCAGTGACGGCCAAACAAGGCTTGCATTCCTATGCATGATCACATAGCTACATTAAAAGGTTATGGCCAGGGGTCCCTGGGTGCCTCAGAGGGTGAGTGTCCAACTCTTGATTTTGGCTCAGGTCATGATCTCAGGGTTCTTGAGACTGCACACTGTGTCAGGCTCTGGGCTGACAGCATGGAGCCTGCTTGGAATTCTCTCTCTGTCTCTGTCTCTCTCTCTCTCCCACAAAAAAACAATGCTTTTTTTTTTTTTAAAGGTCATGGCTAACTCTGACCCCCTTCTCTGATACTTGGTTCAAGCTTCTGCATCATACACAGTTCAGAATCATCTGGAAGTAGAAAGAACATAGAAGTTGGCATCGAAGAGACCTGGGTTTAAATTCTCCCTCCATCCCTTCCCTTGATAGCTGGGTGATCTTTCAATTAATTAAGGAAATAAGCTTCTGAGGGCCAACTATGTGCCAGGCACTGAGAACACAGAGAACAAGACAGACAGGTCCCGCCTCCTTTTGTGGAACTTTCTCTCCATAGGGATGCACACAAAGACCTGATGATGGTTATGAAAGAAATGACCAGGGAGTTATGACAGAGAGTTATAGTGGTGGGGGTAGAGTTGAGGTCCCACCAAGGTAGGATGGTTGGGGAAGGCCTCTCTGTGGCATTTAAATTAATACTGAAAACTGAGGTAGAGCCAATCATGAAGGGAGGGGAAAGGCTTCTTAGCAGTAGGAACAGTATGTGCAAAGGGCCTGAGGTGGGAAAGAGCTTGGCCTGTTGAGAAACCAAAAGGAGACCAGAATTATCCAAACATGGGAGGAGGGGAAGAGAGTAGGTCAGAGAGGGAAGCAGAGGCCAACAGGAAGTACTGGAGTTCATATGAAGTGCAAGAAGCCATGGGAACTTTAAGCAGGGGAGGGACATAGTTTGATTTTAAAAAAATTATTGTGGTAAAATACACATAACATAAACTTTACCACTTTAACCATTACAGAGTTTACAATCAGTGGCATTCGGTACATTCACAATGACGTAAAGCCTTTAGCACTGCTCAGTTCCAGAATTTTCCATTATCTTAAAAGGAAACCCTGTACCCATTAAGTAGTTGGTCTCCATTCCCAACTCCTCTCCAGCCCAAAGCACCTGCTTTCCATCTCTATGGATTTGCCTATTCTGGACATTTCTTTTTTTTATTTTAATTTTTTAACATTTATTTATTTTTGAGAGACAGACAGAGCATGAGTAGGGGAGGGGTCAGAGACAGAGGAAGTCCGAATCCAAAGCAGGCTCCAGGCTCTGAGCTGTCAGCACAGAGCCCAATGCGGGGCTCAAACTCACAAACTGTGAGGTCATGACCTAGGCCGAAGTCGGACACTTAACCGACTAAGCCACCCAGGTGCCCCTGGACATTTCTATATATGGAGTCATACCATATGTGGCCTTTCATGACTGGCTTCTCTCACTCGGTGTGTTTTTGAGGCTCCTTCATGTTGAAGCGTGGATCAGTACTTCATTCCCTTATGGCTGAACATCCCATCGAGTGGCTGTAGCCATACAGTTATTTGATTCTTTCATCCATTGATAGAATTTGCTTTTACTGCAGTTAACTCTGGTTGGGTAGGGATGGATCTTAGGGAAGGCAGGCGTGGGAGTGCAGGCCAGAGAAGGGCATGGATTCCAGAGGTAGAGCAGATACGAGAACAGTGTGTGGCCTGGATGTGGGGGGGGTGGGGGTGGGGGGAGGACGCGCTTGAGTACCCTGCGGTGCCCTCACCGAGATGGAAAACCCTGGGAAGGGACACCCCAGCTGTCTGTGATAATGTTTGGTTTGGATTGTCGAAGTGGAGGCGTCATGTGGGCAGTAGGATTTGAGTCTGGAACTCGGCGGAGTGTGTTGGGGTGTGATGTTGTGACAGAAGAAACAGACATTTCGGTCTTCATCCGTGGCTCCGGGCCAGAGCTCCTGAAACCCTTGTAATTTCCTAAGTGATAAGAGCACAGGGAGCGTCTTAGCATCTTTGGGAGCCCCTAAGGATGGGGGGCTGGTGGCCAGGGGTTAGAACATTCAGTCCCACCCCCACCTGTTCCCCAGGGAGGGGAGAGGGGCTGGAGGCTGCGTTAGTCACCGGTAGCCAGTGACAGAATCAACAGGGGCTGCATGATGGAGACTCTGTTAAAAACTAAGGGGAAGAGGCCAGAGAGCTTCCTGGTTGGTGAACACGTGGAGGTGCTGGGAAGGCGGCGTCCCTGGAAGGGGCGTGGAAGCTCTCCATGCCACCTCCCCAATACCTTGCCCTAGGCATCCCTTCCATCTGACTGTTTGTGAGTTGTGTCTTTCTAGAATAAATCCTAAATTATAAGTAAACTGTTTTCCTGAGCTCTGTGGACCATCCTGGCAAATTATCAAATCTGAGGAGGGGTCATGGGAACCTCTGATTTGTAAGAGAGACACAGGTGACAACCTATGCGATTGGTGTCTGCAGTGGTGGGGGTGGGGGTGGGGTCTTGCGGGACTGAGCACTTAACCTGTGAGGTCTGCGCTAACTCCAGGCAGTTAGTGTCCAACTCCTGGGGGTAGAGCACCCACGCATCTGTTGGAACAAAAGTATGGAATGTAGAGAAACACACTGAGGTTTTCTTTGAGAAGATCATCAGCTCATAGCTGAAAACCCTGGACCAGGCGGAGACCCTTCTCCTTCCTCAGGTGTAGACAAAGGGTCCAGCTGAGCTAGAGGGCTCTGCCCTTCCTGCAGAGGGACTACAAAGAGGTCTGTCTTTAAGCAGAGGTAAAAGGGAAAGCCATCAGTGTGTGGGTCCCAGAGGCCAGGAAGCCAGCAGTGTGAGCGTGTCAGAAGCCGAGGGACGTGGAGAAGAGACACAGGAACCCCTCACGGAACAATGGCTGCTCATGAAGGGGAGCCTAGAGACGGGATGACAGACGGAGGGCTGGCAGCCCACACAGCCCCCAGCCTAGATGGCACCTGGAACATAAGATCGTCAGACTAGGGTGTGCTGAGCATCCAGTCCCCACTTCGTGGAGAAGACAGAGACTGAAAGTTAAGTGCAAGGCCACACAGCAGGTAAGGGGCAGAGCTGGAATGGGAGGCTTCTCCATACAGGGTTCTCAGTGGGCTCCTTCCTCGCCTGCGGCAGGAGCAGTGGGTGCTAATGTTTGGGGGGTGAGTTCGACAGTTCTCTGGAATCTTTCCTGCCTACTGACGGGGGTGAAGTGGACAGAGGACCCTGGAAGTATTTTCTGACTCTCGTGTTGATGAGCAGAACCTCAAACTAAAGGATTGAGCAGCACTGCCTTGTTCCACCTGCTGGTTACTCATGGAAACTACTCAACAATGTGGTGTAGCCTGCCAGCTGGGGAAGGTTCGACCAGATGGGTCCCACATCGGCCCAGAAGCAGACCTGGGATAGACTCCCCGCAACTTCTCTGCACTCGGGAGATTAGTCTAAACTCACCTTTGCGAGTCCATCCTCCTTGCCATTATGTTTCCGGAAAGGGCGTGTGATGCCATGCTCTGACCACTGAGACCCGGGGGGTTGTCTGCTGGGGCCTCTGCGAAGTGTCCTCTTCCCAGGAGTGGCCTTCCTCTCGCCTTCCTAGTCGCAGCCTGAGGGCAGGGCCAGGGGTGGAAAGCTCCTGGGCCCTGAAGCAGCTGCAGCCGAGCCCCCCACCCATTCACCCTGAGCAGCCATGTACAGACCCTGTTTTTGAGAAGTGACTCTTGTTTGGGTCAGGGTCTTTATGTCTCACTTCCAAGAGCATCCAGACCCCGTCCAAACTTGGGCATTTGCTGCTTAGTGGCCATTTCACTTTCTCTTGGTAACAGCATCCTCTTTCTGTTTGGGGAACGGATGTACCCCTGTTGGGTCAGGTCCAGTGGAAGTGTTCACCCAGGTGTCCCTACTTTCTAGCTGAGAGGTGGGCACGTGACCCAGACAGAGGCAGTGGGAGAGACACAGGGAGACAGCAGACAGCTGGCATCTGCTCACATCAGGGTGGGTTGTGCGGCTGCTGGTGCCTGTCCGTGCCCCCCTGGGTGCCGACCGCCCCTGCCACCCTGTGGGTGCCGGGCATAGGAAGCTGGTGAGCTAGCCTCAGCTGGTTTCCATCGTCTGCATCCAAGGAACCCCGGCCAGAGCTGAGAGAGACAGACAGAAGATGGAGTCCCTGCCATGAAGGTGCACGGCCTTAGCGCAGGAGGCAGACCGTGAACCAGCCACTCGGATGTGAGGCAGAAGGAAGTGGACAGTAATAACCACAACTGGGAGAAGAGAGCAGCCACGCGCACTGCAGGAGCGCCAACTGCACACGAGGCCCTGTGCTGGGCGCGCCGAGCACGTTCTCCCTCCTTTAGTCTCCACGTCAGCCCCTGGAGGCTGTAATAGAGGCCCCCAAACGACCCGTGGCTTAAACAAGCCACAAGTTACTTCTCATGCCAAAGGCTGGAGGCAGCAATTCCAGGGCAGGTAAGGTGCCTCCGTTCCACAGAGCACTCCCAGGCCCTTCGTCCTGGTCAAAGACGCCAGCATCTGCGTTCCAGGCAGCAGGACCCAGCAAGAGACCATAGAGGCTCGCCAGCCATCTCTTCAGAGCAGCCTCTGACACTGCTGCCCCCACCCCACGGGCAGCCCTTAGTCCCAGGACACCGAGCTGCAAGGGAACACGGGGAATGTGGCGGTTAGGGCACCGTGCGCCCAGCTAGAAAGTCAATGACGGTTGTGGACGTGCAGAGAGGACTGTGAGAAAATGCCAGGTACTACACGGGTGGGACAGACAACGCTCAGAGAATGAAGTCCCTTGTCCAAGGCCACCCAGCTATGAAGCAGCAGGGCAGGACCTGAGCCCACTCTGTCCACAGTAACATGGAAGACGGCAAGGCCACAGGGCAGCTGGGGGAGGAGGCTTCTTGGGAAAGTGAGATTTAAGCTGGGTTTCCTGGGTTAGGAAAAGGCAGAAGACAGACACCTTAGGAGCTGAGGTCTAGAGGCATGAGAACTATCTGGAAGAAAACTTCCCTTCCTGGGGTAGCCCCTTACAAATGCTCTCTGGCCACAGCCCGATCATCTCCAGCAATAGGGGGCTCATGCCTGTGAGAGCTCACTGCGTGTAGGGATATTTCTCATCAGAGCTCTCCTCTGGAGTGTGGTGGTCATCTTCACTTCTTCCCTGCTTGGCATCTGTGTTTCAGTCCAGGTGGTTCCAGAGTGGCTGACCCAACCAGGCCACTGGGGCTCCCCAGGAGCCTCCAGCCGGGACTCTGACAGTTCCTCTGTTGGGACTGCCATTTGCAAGGACGGGGGAGCCTGGATCCGGGGGGCATCATGTGGAGAAGGCCTGCCTGGGGGTTAGGCCGACACAGAAAGAGCAGAGGCATCTGGTGGCTAAGTGGAGCCCACACCCTGCTGTGCTCGGAGCTCCTCGCATGTGTGAGTTCCTGCACCTGTGAGTCCCCCGCACACGAGAGGTCCCCGCACAGTGAGTCCCCTGCACGTGTGAGTCCCCACGAGCCAATAAATTCCCTCTTTGCTGCAGCCAGTTTGATTGGTGTTCCTGTCACTCCCATCAGAAGACTGCCTACGAAAAGAAGCAGGGATGGCAGGCCTTTGTTTTGTTTTGTTCACTTATTTATTCTGAGAGAAAGAGAAAGGGAGGGGGAGAGAAAGAGAAAGAGAGAGAGAGAATCCCAAGTAGGCTCTGCACTGTTAGCGCAAAGCTCAACACAGGGCTCGATCTCATGAACAATGAGCTCATGGCCTAAGCCGAAATCGAGTCAGATGCGTAACTGACTGAGCCCCCCAGGCGCCCCCAGGCCTCTTTTTCTCACCACCTGGGCAGGGGGTCGGGGAATATCTGTGTGTTTCATTATAGTAGGGCCTGGTGCAATGTGAA